CCTCCTGCCTCAGCCTCCTGAGTAGCTTGGACTATAGGCATGTACCATGATGTCTGGCTAATTTTTCTATTTTTTGTAGAGATGGGGTCTCACTATATTGCGTAGGCTGGTCTTGAACTCTCAGCCTCAAGCAATCCTCCTGTCTCAGCCTCCCAAAGTGCTAGGATTACAGGCTTGAGCCATGGCACCTGGCCTGAATTTTTTAATAATAATGTAACAGGAAAAATAAAAGACTGCTCTGGATTCTTACCTCCTCTGGAGGCCTTCCCTACCTGCCTCCTGTTACTCCGGTAAAGTTGGTTCTGTCCATTCTTTTACTCTCCAAGGTAGAGCTCTAAGGCATTTGTCATGCTGTACTGTAATTCCTTGGTTTCTGGTCTCTTCCCCCTCTAAGCTTCGAAGTCCTTAGAGGATAAAGATGCTGTCTCTCATCTCTAATTCTCCAGTACTCATTCCTGTACCTAACACAGAGTAGGTGATCCATTCATCCTCATTCAGTCAAGAACAGAAGTCTAATTTAGGAATTTTCTTCAGGGCCACCACTCTGAATTCAGGTTCAAGTGAATCTAAGGTGAGTGAAGGTTTTGAGTTTATTTTTGTTTCAAATTATGAAAGTAATACATGTAAATTAAAATAATTAAGAATCAAAGTAAAAAAACAAAATTATTATTTCATTCCTGTCTTAGATACACTCTAACCAGAGTCAAGAGTTCAGCATGTATCCTTCCAGAATTATTTCTATGCAATTATAAAGACACAACGCACACACACACACACACACACACTGGTACACACTCATATTACTACAAATGTTGTTTGGTGACTTCTTTTTTAATCTAATAATATATCACAGAGTTTATCAAATCAGTGTATAGATCTGCATCATTCTTTACAAAGGCTACATAGTAATCCATCGTGAGGATGTGTGTTAATTTTTTTAACTATTGCATTTGAATGATCATGTAGGTAGAGGAGCGGTTTCTACACGACACCAGTAGCCTAGAAAAAAAGGGACTTGGCAACTCCAGTAATCAGACAAGTAAAACTAGATTAGCCTTGAACCATGAGGGCAAGTCAGGGTAAACTGGCAAGGAAGGGACTTTACCAAGCGTCTCAGCTTACAGAAAGTCTCGGCCTATTCAAGGAACAAAATTGCACAGAAGAGAAAGATCCAAGCGTGAAAATGAATGGAGCCAATCGACAAATGTGAGACTTTGTAAGCACCTAATCTGTGTGCACTGAGACACCTTCCCACTGTAATGACATGGTCCCTGCGCCCTGACGCAGCCGGGTGCAGACTGCACACACCACAGCCTGCAGGGAACAAGTGAGAGTGGTAAGTGTATGGGCCTGGTTCATCTTGGAAGAGAAAGTCCCGCTGGTTTCCCAGTGACAACAGAAAGTTACCCAGGCAAATGTGGATGACCCTCTTGTCTTAGGTGCCCCCACCGCTTTAGATTTCCCCAGCCATTTCTCATGCACAAAAACAAGCCTCTTTCGCCCTCAAGCCCTCCTTTCTGAGAGTCCTCAGCCACCTCAACTGTCCAATCTCATTTCCCTCTTAGTTTCTAGTACCCATCTGTGTTCCACTCAGACTGTCGCCATGTCAACAAAAACATGATGGACCACATTGAGACTATTAAAATGGGTTGTACTATCTCCATGGTGTTACCCATTCCAAAACATAACACGAACCCCTCCGTGTCAATGTACCTTCACTGCCGCATCACAAGTGTGTGTGCTGGCCCTGCCTGCCGCTAAAGGCAAGTATTCCTGCAAATAAAATAAATAGTAATGACTTTATATGCACAGTTTACAATATATAAATCCAGTTAGTGGTGATCAAAGAAATAACAAGTTTTAGAGGCAAAATAAGTACATAAGTTGGGAATTTTAATCTGGGATTATATGTAGTGTCAGGAAATCTGAATGTTACATTATTCAAACACTACTCAGTGACGTTCCTTTGGTGGTTTCTAGCATTTGAATGTTTGCTATGGATTACAGTCATTTGTAAATAATTTAACAGAAGAAATGCAAAGAGTGAAGATGAGATTGCTGTTGTAAAATACAGATGAAATCAGAAACTTATCTAAAATCTGAATTTGCAACCCTAAAACCAAAATCAGGGTAAGTGTTACAAAAGGAAATGAACTTGTATGAAAGCAACATATACTCTAACGCCTAACTTAAATGTGCTTTTGGAGGTATTTTTAGCAATTTGACTGACGTCAATTCAAATGAAAAAAATTTCTTTTACATTTGGAATATCTGTAGTGAAACAGATAAGATTAAGACTACTAGACAGGGTAATTAATCTTCGTGTGTTTAAACTTTCCATTTTAAGAATACTAACTTTTAGGCTGGGCATAGTGGCTCACGCCTGTAATCCAGCACTTTGTGAGGCGGAGGTGGAAGAGTTGCTTGAGGCCAGGGGTTCGAGACCAGCTTGGGCAACATAGGGAGACCCTATCTCTACAAAAAACCAAAAAAATTAGCTGGGCGTG